CAGACAAACAAAAAAAAAAAAAAATCATCTTTCTTCTCAGTACTTAGATAAATGCAGCTACACCCATTTTGCAAATAGAAGAATGAAGGCTCTTCATTTGATGAAATAAAGGTCTGTTCTTCTTATCACTCTCCATTGCTTTCCCTTTTCTTCTTCTTCTTCTTCTTCTTCTTCTTCTTCTTCTATATCTTTCTTCATTTGTCAGCTTCTCTTCCTTTCCTTTTTTCCATAAAAGAAAAAAAAGCTAAGAGATTACTATATTTTCTTTTAACTTCCTTTTTGCTTATCCTTATGGGGCGTTTGTTCTGCACAAAGCACACTAAATTCCAAAATCAACTCCAAATTTGTCGGTGTCTAACGTGTGACGGAGGGGTGTGTATGTGGGGGATTAATATTCGTCTTGCCCTTCTGTTACTTTTTAGATTCAAATTTTCTAGCTTTCTTCAAAAGAAATTGCATTTTTCTGATTTTCTGTGTTGATATTTGAGAATCCATGAAAAATAAATCTGAAGCTTCTGACACGATTCTAACCTTTTTTCTGACTTTTCCATCACAAAAGCGAATTTTTTATTACGCAAAAAGGTTCTCTTTTTCCCCTATTTTTAAAATTTTTCTTTAGCACAATGATGAAATAGTAGCTACTCCATAAAGTAGTAGAAAAAGTGGGTTCCTTTTTTTGCTGATTTTATATTTGAAGACTCGAGCCCAGTGACCATGATGGACTCACAGATTTTGAGAAAGTATAGTATTTTTGAGCTCTGAGTCAAATCGGAGCCTTCGGAAACTGGGCCCACTCATAACAAATCTTTTAAATATTATGGACCATATGATATTCTGATTTGATTGGTTTTTGGATCCGTTACTTTTTTTTATTTTTGTCCTTTTTGGCCAGAATAGCTGGATTATGAAGTTAGCTAAAATTGACATGTAACTAATTAAGCCATCAAAATAATTCTTAAATGGGTGAGTGGATCAATCAATTTCCTAGCTTTGGAAATAGTGGAGCAAATTTTGATAAAGGGTTTGGAATTGTGAGTTCATAAATATTCAAGTGCCTTCATTTTCATAACTTCTTTATAGGGATAAGATTAGAGGTAGCTTTTACCATAATAATGACAGTGAGGGTATTAAATCCTTTTCTTCTTGTCTTTTTCAAAATGTTAACAGTTGTATTAATTGTATTTTGCCAAATTGAACTCCGTCTAACATTTTCACTGTTGGTTGTTGAGCAGCAATTTAAGAGATAATCCTTTGCTATCTCAAGTACATTTAGTCGGGAGTAATTAAGATGGTACTCATGAGGAGGAGATTAGCCTGCTGTACAAGAGATAGAGAGATTAGCATTGACTTTGATGAAAATGAGAGTAAGTTTTCCTCTTAACCCTACCCCCATATATTCTCTCTTATGAGCTTGTAGAGTCTCAAAGTTTTACTACTTAGATATATTCCTAAATTGCTTCTCATTGAGGTGTAGTTGTTAAAATCATACAGAATATCGGGGGCGGATTTACAAGGTTCGATAGTAGCTTTGGCACAGGCCCTGTATATGTGTTGAGAAATCTATTAATAATGTACAAATATTAAATGTTGAACCTAGTTACTCAAATGATTAGTATAGTAGGTTCAGTGGCATCCAAACCCATAAAGTTCAAATCTTGGATCAACCTCAGAATGTTGGTTGGCCGGTTAAAAGTTCCACAAAATGTTGCACAACAATCTCTAGTGTTTACTCTGTCGGGTTGTTTTCAGGTGTGGTGAGTGGGTCATACAAAATGGAGTAAAGAAACATTGTTATGTTTTCTATTTGTTGGTAATGTATTTGACACATGGATTAGTTGTTATAATGCTGCATTTCAAAAGAAAACTAAAAGGACCTAAAGCTATAAATTGGGCCATTCTCTACAATTTTGCTACAAGGACCAGAGATTGTGGACGCCCTAGAAAAATTTGTGGAGACCGTTGTAGGTATTTCCCCATTATTTGGGGGTCTAAAGGGACTTGCCATTGATATGAAAGAGCAGTAGTAAAGAAGGGTCTGGGTACTGGGTCCTGTTGCATTAATGCTCTGTTCCTATGGCCCTCCATTTTAAAGCGTATGCATTTTGACCATGACATATTCAATTACTTCACGTTTGTGTCAGTGGGAAGGTTGTGACCATGCTATCCTCCCATTCTAGGATATTAATTTGACTCTTTGGAGTGTTTGTAAAGATGTTGCCCTACAGTTTTTATTGCTCTTTTCAGATAACTGTAAAAAACAGAACCTTTACCTACTAAAAAATAATTGTAGATGGCAGAATAAATGCCAAGTACTATTATTCAGCAATTGCATTTCATGGTGAATAAAAACTTATTGTTCATGTTGTTGAAGTTACTTAGTTGACTTGAGATACATTCGAGGATATCTTGTGTGTACACGCCCAATCCAATGCATCTGGTTGCACACGAAGAGGGAGTTTATCGCATTTTTAGAGCTCCTCAATGAATAGTTAAATGTGCTGGGTGCACCGATGTAATTGGCGCTTTTTTTTTTGTTGAGAAAGAAAAAGAAATGCACCATTCACACTAAGTGCATCAACAAAATGTTGTTCTAAATTGGGTTATTTCCTTTTGTCCTCTGCTTGGTAATTTTGCAACTTATATAGTTAATAAAAATAATGATATCTTTAGTCATCTATATGGATGTTTTAGCACAAAATCATAGGTAAATGCCAAAGTTTTTATTAGTGAATGCTAATATTTAGATTGTGAATCAGGCATTTAGTAACCACCTCATTTGTTACGTGGTCAGTGTAATTCTTTGACTTTTGTGAAGATAATGTTTTTAGAATCTGGACATTACCAAGTTAGTTATTTGGTGGATGCTTATTAATCTTAGTAAATTAACAACCCAAATTTACCAAGTTAGTTATTTGGTGGATGCTTATTAATCTTAGTAAATTAACAACCCAAATTCTGGGAATCAATGGCTTGAAATTGCCGAAGGTTTAAAAAAGTATACTTTTCCCAGTTAATAGTCAGTCTTAGGTGAGCCCCAGCATTAGTTAGGGATATTTTGAACTTACCATTCACATGGGGAGGAGTTAATACTTTTGTGAAATTGCCAGGTTTCCAGTTTGTATCAACTTCTACATCGGGAACTCTATTTTCAGTTCCTGGCTTTTGTTTCTACTATTTTGAGAGTAATCAGCTTTGAACAACCATTATTTCTAAAAGAAATGTACAGCTAACTGGTATACACATCTAATCATCTTTATTTCTTATGAGTATAGATAAATAATAGATACAACAGAAAAGTAGGAATTGTCTGCTTCAATAATTGATCTTGTTTGAAGATCCAGATCTGTATTGATATTTTTTTGGTTTACCATTCAGAAAGGGACATAGACTTAGAAACAGTGATCCTACTTCTTGTCACAGAGTAATTTGACAATTTGTTCATTGAGCTGATCATTTTTTTATTTATCCCATCTTTAACAAAGAAAAAAGGCTGCACTGATGAAAATACTAATATCCACATACATGCAAATAAAATATGGTGGTAGTGTCATGTTTGTGCAACATCATGCTGTATAAATAACAGTAAAATTGCATATTTAAGATGCTTAATTTTTTAAATCTTCTGTAAGTCTTTAGTTAAAAGCCATATGAATTGTGCATGTTCTTGCGGTCATTCTATTTATTCTTCTGTCTTGCAGTCAGCACCTTAAGCATCACGCCCCTTAGAACATTCTTTTCTCGTTACATCTTATTAATAAGTACATTTTCTTGGATTAGCCTTTACCCTTCCCTCCATCTGACTACTAAATTTAATGGAACACTCAGAAATTACAACATATGATGGCCTTGAAAGCTGTATTTTGAACAGTCAGCCATATGACAATCAAAGTGTCACTAGCAGAGGTGACGGAGGTATTACAGATTCCTTGGACGATGATGACTCAAGCAGCAGTTCCAGCAACAATGTTTTTGGATCTTTCTCTTCTCACTGGACAACAATGAAGAAGGATGATGAGTGGGATTTCTCAGCAAGCCCGCACCATTACTATGTAAAAGAAAAACCTGCTTATGCAACCCAGTTTTCAGATGTGGAAACAATGAAAGAAAAATTTGCAAAATTGTTACTTGGGGAAGATGTTACTGGAGGAAGCAAGGGGATTTCCACTGCATTAGCACTGTCAAATGCCATTACAAATCTTGCAGGTAGTAAAGATTACTAATTTGGTTTTGTTCACTAGTATTCCCTTAGCTTACCTCTTTGATTATTTTACAACTAAAAAGTTTAACAGGCCAATAGAATAGCTCTCTAATATTATGCAGCTAGAACTTCCTTCGGTGAAACGATTTATCAGCAGCCAAAATATGAAATACTAGCTATAAAATGATGAAGATTCAATACTCGAGCATCTTAACTTGGTTTTGGTCAAGTTTAACTAGAAGTAATTTTACAATCTGAAATCTGATTAAGGATTTATGAGCTGTGTCTAGTCACAGTTTTAGGTTCTGATGGTGTGGATGCAGCAGACAAGAAGTTATGTTGATGAGAATAAATAATAATTAGTGTTGAGAATACACAAACAAAGTATTTGGAGAGCGTCAAGGAACATAAAAGATTTGCATGGAGCTCAGAAATCATTCTACTTGTTCTGTTTTTCCACTTTGCTGTTACTCTTTTCTCCTGATTATACTGTTACTGGATTTGCAGCATCAGTGTTTGGAGAGCTCTGGAAATTGGAGCCACTTGCGGAGGATAGGAAGAGGAAATGGAGGAGAGAAATGGATTGGTTGCTCTCTCCTACAAACCATATGATTGAGTTGGTCCCTGCTAAACAAAATGGTTCTAATGGCCAGAAATTGGAGGTATCTGTGACTTTTAGCCGTTCACTAAATGTATTTCATCGCAGTAAAAATTTTATGCTAAGTTCCACTTGCTGTTGGAGCAGATCATGACTCCAAAAGCTCGTGCGGACATCCATATGAATCTTCCAGCACTTCAGAAGTTGGACTCCATGCTTCTTGTAGGTGGTCTCTTTAATTCTAGAAAAGTGGGCTATTTCCTTTAGCATCAATTTGGTTCTATTTCTGAATATCATTTCTTGCAATGTCTAGGAAACTCTGGATTCAATGGTTAATACCGAGTTTTGGTACATGGAAGTGGGTAGCCGAGCAGAAGGAAGAAGCAGAAGTGCTGGGCAGAGCAAAAGGTGGTGGCTTCCCTCGCCCCAGGTACCCATATCTGGGCTCTCTGACCCTGAAAGAGACAAATTGTTTAATCAGGGTAAATTGGTGAATCAAATATTTAAAGCAGCTAAAGCTATCAATGAAAACGTCTTGTCTGAAATGCCTGTTCCAACAATCATTACAGATGCACTTCCAAAGGTAAGTTATCTATGTCACTAAAGCTATTATTTAACTATATATTTCTTTGTTTATAAGAAACAAGTAACAAGATCAATTCACTCTAACAGTCTGGCAGGACAAGTCTAGGGGAGGAACTTTACAGGGTCCTAACAGCAGAATCTACATCTGTGGAGGCGATGTTAGTTTCCTTGAACATAAGATCTGAACACAATGCCCTTGAAGCTGTTAACAGGTTGGAAGCAGCAATACTTGCCTGGAAAGAGAAAATAGCAGAACATGCCGGTGGAAAATCTCCAGCACGAACATCTTGGTCTTTCATAAAAGATCCAATATCTGAACTAGATAAGATAGAGGTGTTATTGAGCAGAGCAGAAACTCTTCTGCTGCAGCTCAAGATTAAATATCCAAACCTTCCTCAGACATTCCTCAATGTCACAAAGATCCAATATGGCAAGGTAATAATTATATCTCACTAGCTACATCCACAAGATATGCTAAGAGCATTGTGATACACTCACTTCTGCATTCTCGTTTTAGCTCTTGAGATTCTCAAACTTTTTTATTAGTGGGAAGGAATTGAATGTGAGTGGCGGTTCTCAGATGCGGGAACTGTTCCCTCTAATTTTTTTCTTAGTAAAAAACAAACTAGAATCTTTCCGTTGAAAGAGCTTTCTAGTCTGTATGTTGAGTCGTTTCTTATCCTTCTATTCTGTTCTTACAGTAGTTGGTCGGGCAATATAGGTCTGGAAGGTCAGAAGCATTGCCATATACCAATCTACAAGACCTAGCTTTTGTCACGTTGCTTTTATAACTAGGGTCTTTAATTGTCCCAAGCAAACAATTGTATATATTTGTCCACCACAATTACTGGACAGGGATAGTTGTCATGCCGCTTGAGTTGTTTTAGCTTATATTGTATCTCCCTAGTGCTATGAGGTGTGTATGCCGTGTTTAGAATATCAAGATTATGGAAGGAAAGACTAGTTGTTATTTTCATGGTTGCTCAATGAGTTTTTGATTGTTTTGTTCTTCTGTTGTAACCATTGTAGGATGTTGGGCGTTCAATTCTTGAAGCATACTCTCGGGTTCTCTTGAATTTGGCATTCTGCATCCTGACTAGGATAGGAGAAATTCTTCAGGAAGACATCTTGAGCAATCCTAATTCACCCGCGGCTGCATGCCACCTTCCTGGCATAAGAATTCCGGGATTGTCAGATAGTCCTACAACTGGTCGTGTGAGGCATTCATTGATTGATCAGATGAATAAAGCTGATGAAAGATCTTGCGATTCTCGCCATACCAATGCTTCTGATATAGACATTGAGTCTGCTGAATCCAAGATCAGTTCGGTAACTGCAACACCAAGCAGAAGTCGAGTGTGGTGCATTGGCAGAGAAGCTTGTAGCAGCATGTCTGCTGCAAATTCACCTTGATAAGCAAAGTTTTACTCTCACTCTTCCTGTAGATATATATCATTTCCATGTCAAAGAACAGCCTTAGCTTGAGGCTGATTTTTCGCGGTTATTATGGGAGCTTGCCCTCAATTTGCAATAGTAGAAATATAATTGCATTTTGTGCTGTCAGAGCAGTGCGAATGCAGCATGAATTGTTTCATTCAGGGATAATATTTCCATCGTAACAGCTCATTAAAGAAATCACAATTTGTTAGATATTTACTTTACCTCAAGTTCCATGTTAAATGGGTTAGTTCTTTTTTTGAAGGTAAAAGGAAAAGATAGAGAAGGGAAGGGTTGAGGAAGAACAAAGCATTCTGTTGTGAGTAGGAAACCAACTCAAGCCCAGCCACATCTCCGTCAGCTACGTTTAACCCGTAGGAATTGCACCAGATAATTATATTCAGTTTTTTTTTTTTTCAATTATTAAACTTGTAGTTAGTGTTGATAATCTTCAGACAAAAGTCTTCTGTTCCTCTCTTCTCCGCCTCCTTCAGAATCAACCCATTTAAACACAAATAAAGGTGGGTGGCAATAACGAAGCAAGTTGAATAAAGTCAAACTTAGTTCTTGAATCGTCACTTTCTCAGAACACAAGATAAAAAACAAATAAATAAATATAGAGAAAATTAGTGTCAAGTTCAACACAAACAGATTCGTGTAATATTTGACTAACTTATCTTGATGCCAATTTGAATGTCAAATTTCTTTCTTCGGATGAATACCAGGCAGTTGAACACATTGCGTTAACGATCAGAAAGTGAAGGTAAATCACCATCTGTGAGCGCATCAACATGATCGTCTAAAGGTAGGTTTAGTAGTTCAAATATAAGAGTTTGTATGTAGGAATATATGTGAAGTTTACTTGCGTAAGTAATATGTTAAAATTCAGACTATATTTAAACTTCACATTCGTGAATCGTGTTTATATTAAAGCGGTTAAACTTACAAAAATCTGTAAACTTGGGCTTATGTCTTAATCAGCTACTTCACTTGCCCCGTTTTTCAACCCATGAAATAATATGGATAAAATTCAAAAATAACCATATTTTAACCGTGCAATTGAAAATAATCACAGGTTTAAAATTCATTGTAAGTCAGCCAAATAAAATTTAGATACAAATGCCCAACTTAGGCGCAGAGACCAACTTTTCATCTTTTGTGCTTTTCTCAAACTCCACGAAACTATTAGATTTGAGCATAGTGTATTGGGATTCAAGTTTTATCAAGTTAAACTCTAACACAATGTGCTGAATTATATTTCAAGTTTTTTAAAGTTAAATTCCAGCAGATTGTGCTGGAGTTCCATAAAGTAGTAAGCAAAACCAACACGAGACTAGGAGTCATAGAGAAGCTTCAAGCTCAAGGAGAACCAAAGACATCTTCGGCCTATAACTGACCAAAGAATCACAATCGAAACTGAAAAATTGTTTCGACATAATAAATCATATTATCATTGTCACCTTACTTCTCTCTAACTCATCAAATTCGTGATCTCACCAATTTTTTAACTTATCAGGAGATTTCACCACCATCTGAGTATCTGAAACATTATTGCCATAGGACAATTTCAAGTAAGAGAAATCTCAAGTAGTCTTATGTTTGAGGAGTAGTCGAAAGTTCAATTTTCGGCGAATGACAGAAGAGAAGGATACAGTTTTGTTGTAGTAAGGTCTCAATTAGTTTGATGCAAAATTCATTCTCAATTAAGAAATTAGAGGTTTATATTTCAGTATCTCATCATCCTTTTTCACTTAGGAATTTTTTTTCCATTCACATCCTTAACATGAGAATATCAAAGTGGACAATAATAGGGAAAAAAATTTATTCGCATCGGGTGTTTACACCCAATAGAATTAAGCTAACCATAGAAGACAACTAAGACTTTTTTTTTAAAATAAATTAAAAAAAATTAAAAAGACAGAAATAACAACGTAAAAGGAGTAAGGTCTAAGAGTCATCATCACAAGTTTGAAAGGTTATTATTGGGAAAAAACTTACCCGCATCGGGTATATACATCCGACCATTAAACAATCAACACATGTCACTTTGTTTAACTTGAATTATTAGTATTTAACTATAGTTAACTAGTTTTGAGATAATAATATTCTACTAAAATACTTAATATTTTCATATCTCCGTTATGCTAACAGTAACATCAAACCGACGGTACATTTTTGTTTTTGTGCCATCATCGGCCATTATGCCATTACCATCATAATTTTTTGTTTCCTTCTACTTTTGTAATTATAATTAGTTGTACAAGCATATTTTAGCTTTTATCTGGAAAAGAAATTTTTACTTCTGTTTAATATCGTAGCTATATTTGTAATTTTTTTATTATTGCGTAGTTGCAACTAATAATATATGTTTACCTGGTAAATATGTCTCCCATAATATAAACTTATGGTTGAGTTCATGGCAAAATACTTTGCGTTACTTTCCAGTAAATATCATTGCAAAGGTAAATTCAATTTAAATCGAGCAAAACACCATCATGCTTTATGAAAGATTCTTGCCATTTAAAAGTAAAACATATAAAAGCTTAAATAAAATTTCTTTATGCTATGGCTCTTACTCTGAATTAGTAGGCTATTGTTTCGGAATACTCAAAGAATAAAAAAAGAAGACTCTCAGACCTTACTCCTTTTACATTGTTATTTCTGTCTTTTTAATTTTTTTTATTCATTTAAAATAAGGTTTTAGTTGTCTTCTACGATTAGCTTATGTATATTGGGTGTAAACAACCGGTACGGATATATTTTTCCCAATAATAACCTTTCAAACTTGTGATGGTGGTTATGTAATTGCTTTTTAGACACTAAGGGTATTTCGGTTCACATATATTGTAATGAAAATTTATTATATAATAAATAATAATTGAAATCCTTTTATCAGTGAATAGCAACTAAAAGAATGTCATCTAGTGAGTGACATTATAGAAACTTTCATGCAATATCTTATTCATGTAAAATAATATATAAACTTTGCATTATGAGTTATGCTAATATTAATAAGGTAAGAGCTTTATTCATAAATCGGACATTATATTAATTATGCGGATCTTTTTAACCAAAAAGATTTTTGTTAATATATCTGATAGACTTATCTATAGAACAAATCGAATTTTATATCTAGAGTAAAAAAAAGAGTGAAATTGAGTAATCAAACGTGTAAGTTAATAATGTTGGATAATGAGAAAAATAAAAAAAAATCGAAAAATTCACATATAAGTAATTTTATTGGTAGTGATTAGAACTCAAAAAAATATTTATACAATATATATATATATATATATATATATATATATATATATAAGGTACATAATACAAAAAAACATTATGTAGATTTTGTAACAAATTCCTAAAAGAATCTATACTTATGCTTAAAATTAAAATTTAAAAGATATTTCCTTAATGGAAATCAAGACTAAAATTCTACATGCACAACTTAAAGAGAATAAAAGAGATAGTGAAACCTAATTATATATTTAATACATGTAATATTAAAATAACAATCATAAAAATAATATTACAATAACATTCTTAAAGGATTACAGTACTTTAATTAGACTTTGAATTTACTTCATTTGTAATTGAGAATAAGATAGTAACTTTTTTTTTTTTTTTTGGTAATTAAAGAATTTTCATTACCAAGTAAATAGATAATCATGGTGGTCAAACCATGATTATCAATACCACCGGCGGCGGAGCCGATATATATATATATATATATATATATATATATATATATATATATATATATATATATATATATATATATATATATATATATNATATATATGAAAATTTTGGCTTTGCCACTGTATACTACCATGATTATCTATTTAGCAACAAGTATGTTTACCGTGAAAATGGTAATAATAATTAAATTTGTTGATGGGACTCTAAAAATACGTGATCTATTTTTATGCTAGTTGTTTAAGCAGATGATGCTATATGTATGAAGTTTAGAGACGAAATGCGAGCTAAAATAGAGTTATAATCAAACCGATGAGCTAGCCAATCGGGGCCTAGGACTGACCGATACGGGGCCTCGAGGTTGATTCCTGGGCTCGGGCTCGAGCTACTAAGGGCAATCGGGGAAGGGCTGACAGTTGTAAAATAATCAGCGAAGGCTATTTATGACCAATGATAAGCAATAAATGAAGAACAAGTATGAAGATAATAAATAAGGGCAACAATATCGAGAGAGTATGTTAGAGAGAGAAGAGAGAGTTCTTGTATATTTCGTGTGAAGTAGTTGGAGCAACAGCCGCCCTTTACAAAATGACAAGGATCCTCTTTATATAGAGAAGAATCCCTACACGGTATAAAATATATTATTGTAAAGATATGGAGATGGGACAGCTAGACATGACAGTTGACACCCTGATTCGGGTTCAGAGTAGGCCGGCTAGGCTTTGTCAGACTTAGCCGCGTGTCTTGGGAACTCCCCGTCTTTACCCTTCCCACGGTCAATAATGCCTCTAGGCCGGGTGTCGGCGAGCCTCGAGGGAGGGAACTCGGTCACAACTTTGCAGCCTCGAGGCTCCGAGATGGTCTTCTGGAATGCCTTAATGACGGGAAATTGGACCCTCCAATTTCACCGTATACAGATAGTCTCCGTGTTTCCTAGAACGAAGCGATGGGAAATGATTTTGATGCCCAACTCTTCGGGCTCCCCGCGATGACGTGATACCGGTGACACAACCTATGACGTGGGCCTTCACGATAACCGGGACATCCCATAGACTTGTCTTTTCGGCGACATTCAATGCACTGTCGATTCCCATTCTTCAAAATGACAGTACCGTCGTCGATTCGGTTTTTCAAGAACGCATTGATTGTGCTTGCCGATCCGTCTTTCAAAGGCATTGATGGCCGCGTTATCACCCCCTATAAATGGGGGCATTCCGGCACTATCTCTTTATCCAAGTGCCTTTCTCTATTCATTCATACCTTTCCTCTCACCATCTTCCTCCATTGCTAACCACCATGTTTGGGGTTTACGGTTTTAAGGTTGCATGTCAGCATTTTCATCGGCTGTGTGGTGGCCTTCTGCTTGAGCTTCCCCTTGTCGAGCGAGATTACACCGTTTCGTCGCTATTGTTGTTGTTGTTACGCCTGTTACTGCTTTCGTTATTGGCTCGAGGTGATGATACAGAGGCGGCCGACTTCTTCCGATCTAGAAGGACGTTTGGACTCTACACCGCTGCTCAAGAGA